TCTCCTCATAGTAGTAAGGTCGGCCTTTTTTAAGATTGTGGAAATGTTGAAAGCTCCCGATAAGTCAATCATGCAGTCATTGTCATTTCAAAGCACATCATGATAGAATAAGTATCCATCCGCTTTTGGTACAACTTGAGTTTGAGCTGCATAAAACATAGATTCTCACGAGCCAAATCTGAAGCAATTAAATCTATAATTTGTTTCTCTCAATCTTCGTACTCGACTGGATGTATATAATAACCAAGTCTGTCAAGAGGAATCAACTATGGGATAAAATTTAAGGTAGGTTGGACCATATTGAAGTATAAGCACTCAGGAGATGTCCATTCTTCTCTGAAAAGACTTGGATCCCACTGTAGAATGTTGTATTCTCCACAAATCCTAAGGTGAATTCCCATGTAATAGTTCATCCATTATGTCTGATCATTGTTGGTGGAAGCACTGTTGATTTGAATTTAATACTCAAATGACCTCATAACATCTTCTAGAAGTAGTTTGAAAACTTCTCATCTCTGATATATTGGACATTCCTCAATAGGAGCAACTCAAGAAGCTTATATATCAGAAAAATTTAAAATTATCTTGTTTTGGGTTGTATTGTGTCTAATATCAGCTCTTTAAACTCATACCCTTTTGGACATCCATTGTCAGTCTTATTGATGCTCCACTCAATGCCTGCAACATGACAGCTCAAAACACCACAATCCCATACACTGCATGAACACTCATTATCTCGGACTTACGAACCTATGGAACAGCTGTTATCAGCTCAGATGTGTTCTCTGATGAGTTCAATTGAAACCACTAGTGTCTCTCCCTCATCGGCTCGAAGTTGAGAACCTCTCTGTAATCTACATCTTCTCATAAAACACTGCTTATTTCTTCAAGTACTCCCTAATCAGTAAAAGAGGTGATTCTCCTAGTTGTGCAATCTGATTTGGTATGCCCAAATCCGTGATACTTGAAACACTTCCTGACAGTGATGGATTTGAGAATGTGGATTTGCTTCAATTTTTTTGTACTCCGAATAAGTTTCTCCTCGGGAGAAGGCTTGGACGCTTCCCTTTGTGTACTCTTGTGATTCGATGCAAGGTTTAAAACTCTGCTTGTAAGGTATGGCGGACATCCTTGAAATATGCATATTGCATTAAAAGTAAAGGAGTACAATAAGTCCAGTAAACATACCCTTATGCATGGTCAAATGAGGCCCTGCCACCCCAGAGAATAGCAAAAAGTTTCAAAGATTCGGGCACCAAAGTAAAGAAAAAACTAATGTGAAAGGGCCCTTTGGGCACAAAAATAGGCTGCTTGGTTGAGTTACTTAGGAACAAACTGAAACATAGCCTGTCTAAAGAAAGAAAGAAAGAAAATAAAAGGCAAAACAATGCTCATAAGTGGCTCCCCAGCTACATTGTTTCTTGGAACGTCGCATGAAGTTGATGATATTGGTTTTGTCCCCCTTAACAATGATTCCCTTGACCTCTGTAATACACAGTTTTATGATGCCTCGGATAGATAAAAGCGCTTCAAACACCACAATGTCGCTATCCCAACGTATCATATGTTGCCCCATTTTGTATAAAAGTTGGACGGTCTTATCCCGAAGGACAACCCTCGTGCGGCCAGTGATCCTGCAAGAGAGTACCAATTGCATTCACCTTTATCTATCCCGGAGGAGCGGGGGCACCAAGAGAAGGGTAGAGACAGTAAGTTGGGGTGTGAACATCTGGTTTGTTTTGCTGATAGGCACTGGCGTTGTATCTCCGGTTTCATTATTGACATGTAGTGCTTCAAATTTTCCTACCAAAATAATGAACTCTTCTTTAAATTGTTGATGGCTAGTTTCACCATTCTGTCTGATGGGATATCCTTGTACTCAAAGAAATGTTTCACTATCTGAAATCATTCGATGAACTCGTCTGGATTCAAGTGATAGATAAAATTTAACAAATCCATCACTATTTCAAAATTACGGCTTCTCAAATATTTCATGTCAAATCTTCGAGATAAAGGTTCTTCATTCCTTCAGTCCGCGTGGTGGAAGAGATTCACTTTATTCTTTCGATCTAAAAAGTAATTGTTGTGGCTATGGGTGATCGGTCTAGATGGTATCCTTTTCTCTATTTCACTAATTTATTGTAGCATTTGGTGAATTTGTCACTATATCTCTTCCATTGTGAACTCCTAATCGGTGTTTGGCTATTGTCTCCTCAGTGACATGGCTAGGATTTAGGTTTTGGGTATGGTAGAGGGTGAATGGGGTGATGTAGGGTAAGAAAAAAACTTTTGGGCGGAGATATGGGGATGCCAAAAATCCTAGGATAGGAGTAGGGTTAGGATAGCTCTAATATCAATGCTACCAAAGTTAACCCAACTATAATAGAAAAGGCAAATATTATTACTCAAAAGCAAATAAATGTTACAATCAGCGACGCTGAAATAGAAAATAGCAATAAACATGACACTAGTTCCAATTGGCACTGGATTGAAGGGTGGTGGTGGTGGTCGGTGGGGGTCAGTAAGGTAGTCGAGTGGAGAAAAGGGTCAGTTGACAAGCCAAAACAGCAAAGCTTTGGGATTAATAACCCCCTACATATCCTTCTGAGTATTATTGTATAATTGAAGTTAATAAGTTATAAAAATTATTAATGGAGAATTTAAATAATAAAATAAGATATATATTCAAAGAGATGATAAATTGGAATTATAATTTGATGATTTTAAAAATTTTTTGATGGAACAACATGATAATGGATTATTAAAAAGAAAATTTGATTGTGGTGAAAAATTCTAAATAGGATTTGCCTGTGTCAAGTTGAGAACATTAAACAAAACATTTCTTGAGATGCATCCTAAGTATTATCTTATTGTGTGATTATATGTTGTGTTATCACGTTATATAATTTATATATGTTGTGTTTTGCGTATAACTATTGTCATTTACAAGGAAATGCACATCCGTAGGGTACTTTGTGGGTTCGAGTTACCTATGGAAGCGAAGAGGTGAACAATCGCGAGGCGATGGATGATGACTTTTGAGGGTAGTTTTCTATTTTTTTATTATATTTTTTAAGTTCTTTTAGTTTTAGAGTTAAAAGAAATTGGGATTAGTGGTATAGTGTTTTCAGATGTATTTGTACTTGTTTAGTACGGTTGTCTTAGTTGTATTGTTTTGTTTTAGATGTTATAAACTTTGTGTTTGTGTTTGCTTAAATTTTTACTTAAAAGTCATTAGTTTATCCATGCCTGTGTAATTAACAACTAAAAGTAGTTTAATTAACTTAGATTTATTCCCCTAAAGTTTGCTTTTTACATTTATACCACCCCAATCTTTCATATCATATCAAAAATACTATTATTATAACTTTTAAAAAGTGAAATAAACATTTTCATGCATAGATAAGGTGACATATATGTAAAAATTGAAGTTTAGTTAGATATGTAAATATAAAAGAACTGAATGGCATGAGTGTATATTTTCCTGAAAAAATAAATTTAACAATAAGTTAAGTACATACATCAAGAGAAAATGATCTTTTTGTACTCCTATTGAAAGGAAACATAATTCGGGAACAACCAACATGATTTTATTCATGTTATAATTATTAATGAATAATATTTAGATATTTAAAAAGTAAATACTTTCAACTAATTGGTGGTTAGCATATGACCAACTTCACCCTTAATAAAGTTTTGTGATTAAATGGCTTAGCCTTACATTGAATAATAGGAGTGTATTTGAACGTGTAAGTACAAAATAAATTTTTTAATTGATAATTATCATAAAATTTTAATTTAATTATAGCCTCATGGCAAAAGATAAACTTGATTTGAAAATATAGCAAATGTGGTAACAAACTTTTAAAATGATAAGAAAAATGCTAAATGGGTGGTTAATAAAAAAAAGATGATAATTAAAAGGAAATAAATGGATTAGTTATCAGTGAGAAATGTTTGGCATGGTATAATGTTATAAAATTCACTATGTTTAGGTGAAAATTGATAATATTCGAGAGCAACAAAAAAAACAAAAAGGAAAGAATAGATGATGAGATTAATAATGAAGATTATAATTTAGAATATTATAATATTGATGAAAGAAGCAAAGCTTTTTTCACTAATGATGAAGATAATGCTTCTCAAGAGGACAAGTTTAACTTCTTACAAAATATTAGAATTCCAAAAATATATAACATATAAATTTTAAATGGTTGATGTGTTGAGCACTCAAAACTTAAGCATCTCTTTTGTTATTTTTTATTATAATGATAGTTTATTTGTTAAGCCAATAGCCTTTCACATTTAGCTTAAATTTATTCATAATATCTTGCACTATATTTCAAATAGTGTGAGGCATGCAATGTACAATACACCATAGCTCTACGAGGACATTTGTATTATGACGTGCTATTTTCCATTGACAAAGTTTGCATTGTCATCTAATATACTTATAAAGATTTGCTTTAAAATAATTTGTCTATTTATGTTATTAAAGTCACACCCTGTTCTACTTATCAAGTAACAAAGAATACCTGGGATGGCAATGTGAGTCAATATTGTCAAGGATGGATGCAAACTTAAGCACAATACTTGCATAAATGGAGACTTCAATATACTACAAAATGAAAGCTTCGACACACTTACAGAGTTGATTCAAATTACTATCAAATGAAAACCTGTTAATAATTCTTAGGCTGGTAAATTTCCTGGAATATTGTAAAGAAAGATATAAAATTTGACATATTACTTAGATAGAAATCTAAGCAGACATGGCATACTTACTAAATCATTGCAAACTATGAACTTCTACCATCATATTTTAGCAAAATTACAAAAAAATAAGACCTTCGTTTACTAGTTTATTGCAAAATTAGAAATTGTCTATATTTGTAGTATTTTAAATATTATCTCGTATAATCAAAAATAGAAAAAGCATTATCCTTATTCTCAAAGGAAGTATACCATGGAGTATAGGTCGAGTAGACGGATATACTTACGGAAAAGTTATCCGAGATAGTCTGTCGATTAAGAGAGGCCTCTACGATGGTCGTGAACTTGTACAGGATAACAGCGATTACCCCAGCTGTAATCCCTCCAAGCAAAGCCTGAATAGGGGAAGGCGGGCTCTTAGCTTCACCGGGACCAACTCCAATTGTTTTCAAGCTTTCAAAAGCTTCTTCCGTTATTCCCTTCACATTCGTCGTCCCCGTGGAGCGCACTCTCTACAGAAGGTTTCCAATATCACCCAATAAGTGTTCGTCAAAATTACGCACTGAAACAGAGACACAAAGAGAGATGAATGAAGCTAGCACCAGCTCCTTCGCCCGCTTAGCTCTTCTACGAAGCGAGCGGAAGAGAAAGACTGTTATGGCGCCGGTTAGAAGAACACTGGTTGCAGTTTGCAAGGGGGTCAGACTGTCATTGATTGCAAAGAGGGATGAGGAGGAAGAAGAAAGAATTTCGACGGGTCCTTCAGTTTCTCCGATTGGAGATGGTGGAAAAAACTCGGGAAGCTCTGCGAGCCATGGCCGGAAAACGGCCGCTAGTGGCGATTGCCGGAGAGAGATGAAGACAAGGGGAGAATGGAAAGGAAATATAGGAGAGGGACGATTTCGGACAGGGGATGTTAGTGGAGCAAGGGAAGATAAGTGCAGAGCTGAGTGATGGGCATGCAGCATCGCAGACAGGGTAGTAGGCTAGGGGATGAGGAGGATGGAAGGAAAAGGATGATTGATTGCGTTATTATCTATTTCCCGTGTGAGAAGGCTTTTTTTTATGTTTTTTAGGAATTTAAACTTTAAAATATTTTTTAAATCTCAATAAATATATATACATATATA